CACATCCTGCCAGGACCCGGCACCCCCTTGCGATGCATTACTGAGCCTGGGGGTCCCCACAGAGTGCCTCTCACCTGAATGGGGGGTAGGATGGTGCTTCCCCTTGGCGGTCCCGCCGGCTGGGGGCTCCTGGGGGACACGGTGCTGCCTTCTGAAGAGCGTGCGCATTGTGTGGCTCGAGTTGGGGTGCGTGTTGGGGTGCATGGGGATGATGCGTGCTCTCACGCACCGTGAGGTCCTTTTGTTTACCGGACACCAGACTCGGGGCGCGTGTTGACCGAACCGCGGCAGCGTGTGTCCGCGGCGCTGCGTCCTCATCGCCGGGGTTTCCCTCCTCGGCCGGCTGCTGCGCCCCGGCTGGGCTGTCGCTGGGCCTCGATGTGGCCTCGGCAATGCGCTCTCATAAAGAAAAAAAGAGGGGCCCTCCCTGGGGGCGCCGCGGGTTAAAGTGCAGCACAAGTTCGATCCCCACCCCGGAGGGGACCCCCAGGGCGCGGCAGACCCCTCCTGTTTCCCCGCTGCTCCCCTCAGCAGTGGGCTTGGTCCATCGGCCTGTTCTGCTCCCCGCTCTGTCTCTGGGGTGTCCTCTCAGCCCCTGCCCCACTGGGCTGTGCCCCAGTTCTGTGTGCATCCATAAATCTTTAAAAAAAAAAATAAAGAGAACCAGACGCCTCTGCGTACACCCTCATAGGGCGTGTTCTGCACGTTCTTTGCCAATGGCCGGCTCTGACCGACCCCTCGCCCCCAACCCGAGGCCTCCCCACACCGTGTCCAGGCCGGGAGTCCGGTGTCCGGTGAGTAGCCAGCAGCTAGCTGTTCACCCCAAAGAGTCGGCCCTCCTGGGAGCCCCGGAGCCTTTTGCCCCGTCTTTCCAGCACGTTCTCTGCCGCCTCCTCTCGCTCCTCTCACTGCCTCTCACACGCCTGGCCCTGGACTCCTGGCCACAGGACGCCTGGCCACGGGACACAGGTTCAGAGTCCCTGGGTCGGTCCGTGTCCCCGTCTCTTCCCCCAGCCCTGCACTCCCGCCCACCCGCCGGCTAGGGCTCCGACGGTCCCAGAGCCGCGCTCAGGCTGGAGCGTGCCTGCGGGGCTCGGGGCGGCCGGCACCCCGCTCCTGGGAGCCCAGGCCCTGGCCACACCCTCCTTGGCGGTGCGGAGGCCCCCCGCGGCCGCGTTCTGGACAGCCCCTCGCCGTTTGTTGGTCTTGCTGGCAGCGGCCAGGCTTGGCGCCCAGAAGGCAGAAAGCAACAGCCATCCTCTGTCCCTCTGGCGCCGACGTCCGCTCTCTCCAGAAGCTTCTCCAAGGTGGGCTCCCGCGGCTGGAGGGGCGCCGGCCGCCGGCTGCAGCTGCCTCCTCGTGCAGCAGCCCCTCCCGACTGCCAGGGACGCCCCCACCGCCGCCCTCCGCCCTCTGCCCGCCCGCGGGCGGGCGGCCGCAGCTTCCAGGGCTGCTTTTGTTGTGGAGACCAAGTCCTGCGTGGACGCCGCCCAGAGACGCTCCCGCCTCGCGTCCTCCGGCTCCGCGCGCTCTTCCCCTTCCCTTTGTCTCCCGCCCTCGCCGGGGTCAGACTCCCTCGCCAGACTGGGAATGTGTTCGCTACTCCAGGACCCAGATGCCAGCGTGTGGCAGCATCTGGCACGTTGGCACGCACTGCTGGCAGTTGTGCGGCTGCTCTGAGGCCTGTCAGGCGGCTGAGGCAGCTCAGGGGGGCCCTGCCACCAAGCGGGCTCTCTCGGAGAACGGGGTCTCCACCGTGGGGCCCGCGGCGCACCCGGGCCGGCCCTGGGCCCCTTCTGCAGAGACCCCGCTTCGTGTGGCGGGGGCCTGCCCCTGGGCGGCTCACCGGCTCCCGCCGTTGGTGTTGGGGTGCCTTAAGGCACGGGGCTCCTTGAAAGGGAAACACAAATCACGGAAACGGTTGAGATGAAACCCCGCTCCTCAGAGGCGGCCGCTTGGCACCGGGACCGCGCCGGAACAGCTTGCTTCCGAAAGGTGACATTTCTGCTGAAGGCTGAATAATCAGAAATGCGTTTTAGAAACTCAGCTCTTCCGTGGCTTCTGACGGATGACTTGTGGCATCAAGGCCGTGTCTGCTCTCCGGAGGTCAGCCTGCGTCCAGCCCCGAAGCAGGCATGGCGTCGACCCCGGGGGAGGCCGAGGAGCTTTTAAATGACCGTGCCCTCGGGCTGCTGAGGCTGTCGGGGCGGGGGGGGCGGCGAACACCGCCAGCTCTGGGGGTGTGGCACACCTGGGGGCTCACTGGGCAGAGGCAGGCTGGACATGGGGCAGGGCGCTCCCCTTGTTGCGTTTGTCCCCCACGAGTGGTGCCGCTGGACAGGACCAGCCCCTGGCCCTGGGCCGTCATCCGGGGACACTGGCTGTCAGAGTCAGGGCGACATGCTTGGGGGCTGTGATCACAAGCCAGGTGGTGCTCTCAGTTCCTAAGTGTGCGCCCCAGGGTCCCGCAGACGCACACCGCTGGGGTTCGGCACCCCAAAGCCAAGTTCACGCTGGGTCGGGCCGCAGGGAAGCATCGAGAAT